TTTACTTTTTTTACTATGAATTACTCCCTTTATCCCAAAAAATAGTCATTTTTTACTTCTTCTCTAAATTAAGGATTTAAGGATAATTCATGTATTTACTTATATTACCATCAAAACAAGTTAAAAGATAAAGTGATACTTTTATGATAGTATAATTAATTAAAATAAATGAATAATGATATGGTTAAATTAAGAAAAAAATATTTATCTAACTTAAAATATAAAAATGACAATTTATTTAGAGCAAACTGGAAGTTAAAATACAGCAATTATTTTGGGACAAAAGAAGTATGAATTTTAGTACTACAATTTTTGTTCAAGTATATATCAATTTTTTTATTGGTCAGAGGATTATAATTGTTTAGCAATATAAAAGTTTGAATATATAATTTTGATCTTAAATTAAAATTTTTAAATTAATGGATACTAATTTAGTCAAATTTTTATTGGATTGTGCACATATTGGTGAAAAACTAAATCTAAAGTATAGCAATAAAGTTGAAAAATGAGGTAAAAATATTTATTCACCTAAATCATAGAAAACCAAAATTAATTTAAATAAATTTTGATTTAAAAAAAAAAAAAAACATATTTCGCGGTTGAAGAGTGCATTTTCTATACCCTAGCCGCGTAAACAAATTACCAGAAGAAAATCGAAAAAATACTGAACAAACCTATATTTGGTGGGGTCTAAATCTTTGCCATGTCATTAATTTCTTAGTTAATTTTTAAATTCTATCAAAGTGGATAGAATTTGAATAGGTTCTAACTTTTAAGCCATCACATTATTTTTAAAAGTTTATAATTGAATTATATACTACCTTTAGCGTTGTTAGTTGTTTTAATTTAACTTTTGAACAAAATTTGATAAGATAATTTTATATAATAAATAAATAATAATTAAAAATTGTTTATCATAGTTCTTGTTGAGTACTGTCACTTAGATCAAAAAAATTGTCTTAATTTTCATTCATTTGTTATATGAAATCATTAAATTAATTTACATAAAGTTGATGAACTGAAACAGTTTAAAAAGACTAAAGGGAGTACTTATATAACACTTATTCCTATAATAGTTAAAATTTGGTGAATAACGAGTAGTAAGTTACTAAAAGTAAATAGTGTAGTATTTAGAAGGTGATAGTTAATGGATAACAGATAGTAGATAACAAATATTAATATCAATCATCCAATTATATTTATTCATGTAGTA